AAATAATAGGTGGTTCTTTATAATTAAAATATGGAGGTATTTGGCTATGGATGGTAGAGTCATTGAATATACTAGATAAGTTAATAAAATCAATACCTCTATTTATATATTTTAATTTAAGAAAATGCCGTTTATGATTTTCAGGTTTATTGATACTAGGAAACAGCCTGTGATGACAAAAGGCTGTAATAATAACGTAATGTACATGTATATTCAAAACATTTGAAGAAAGAGTAAGGGTCCATAAGACACCGTGCCCCCTAACATATTCAGTAAAACAATTTCTCCAGGTTAAACCCCAATTGGTATATAATTTTAAAAGTTTTAAATTTGAAACGGGTCAGGCTTACAGATGGACGCACACGCTAGAAAATTTAATATCCCTTTGCTATCATTAATTGATCATAAGACTAAAAGGATCTCACTTTACAGACATGCAATCGTATAAACACTTCATAATAACAATGTGCGAGCGATGACGTTAAATTACATATACAAATTCTTCCTAGAATCCATGAAATGATTAAAAAAATCTGATTTAGAAAAGTGTAATAATTTTTTTCTGGAATATGCATCTTCATCAGTTACTTTTGATAAAATTCTTCCGAAAATTGACAAGGTAAGATGCACTAGTAAACTGAATTTTGCCTCTGACATAAATAACCTTATAGGTTATAAATGAAAAATGAGAATATCATCTCGCTTAAGACTTCATTATTTTCATTTTTTCAAACTTGACTTTGATACAGCAGTTTTAAAAATTCATTCTTTGAACACTAAATATATGGGTCAACTGAAATTACCAAGTATGATCGGTGTATTTGATTACCTGTTACTAGAATAATTATTCTCTTAAAAGGTTGTCAATAAAATCATTCGGAATTTAATAACAAAATATGTAAAGATTTAAGATGGCAGATTGGGATAACTTTCAAATAGCATCTTTTCCAACAAAGTGTTTGTATTCAAAAAGCAAAATATTCATGTAACCTATTCTCCTCTTCGTCTTGCGTAAATGCAATAGGTTGATTTACGTTCATTTTTTATTAAGGTTGGTTATTTCGGGTTATGTCATTTCTAAATTATATGTTTTAATGGTTTATAATCTTTTTTGAAATTTATATTTATAACAGTAACACAAAGTGCCGATACCTTATCCCGGCCTCGTTAACGTACCTATATATAGCATTTCAGTGTCAAGACTAGTACTTATTCACGGGTGTCATTCGGTGGTCAAGTATCGATTTTGTGGTAACAGTGGAACCACGAACGAATTACAAATTATCTAAAAGAATATATGCAGACTATGCCAAAACAACGATATTAAATATCCACGCAAATGCAAGTTTTCCTCAATCCACAAAAATTGGTATCCACCAAAATAATTGAATCCACAGTTGTCATGAGGATAAAGTCAGTGTTCATAAAAACAGCGGTTGAGACTCTAAAAACACAAAGTCTTTGTATCCTGCATAATACCAATCATTCCTTAAATGAAACGCAAAGGACTATTGAAGGAAAACAGTATTAGTTACAAGTGCAGCGAGTCCAAAACGCGCATAAGTCGAGAATTGTATAAAATGCACGCATAAGCTATACGGAATGTGAGAGTAAACCACACATCTCCGTAACCACATACAAGTTCTAGGTCGCCAAGAACAGCTTTCGGCGGGAAGCCGACAGAATCAGTTGAAACTAAGTCAACGTCGGTTATTTCTCCCTGCTCAGATATCTGCAAGGATCACTATAGCGGGAAATATCATGAATATTGCGAAACAAAAATACTACCTGGGGATCTGTACCATTAGGACAACCGGAACCAAGCTATATAGATGTATGTCATCATTGACGATCAAACCAACCGATCTCTTGCATCACCCGAATTCTTCAGTCATTTTGACTTACACGAAAACTAGAGAACTATACATTATCAACATGCTCCCACAAAGTAGTCACTTACCTGACAAGCGAAAGAGTTTTCGTCATGGAATCAATGCATGATAATATAAAATTTGATCTACCTGTATTTATAGAATGCGAACACCGTTTCCAAAAAATAGGAACTCCTTCAGTCACAATGCATTATCATCACTTAAAAGAAATGGAAGGATTTCACCGATTGAGAAGCATCGAAAATTCTACTTTTGATTCTAATAGACCTAATAGATGCACACCACATCCTTAACCAGCGCATATGACCTACCAGAGCACCACACCAAAACAGTTAAAACTAGGTTGGGTAATAATAGGACCGACTTGCATTAACAAGCATTACGTTCTTCTCGGATTAAATATAAACATAACCAGCAGTTTGCCTACCGGACACCAATGAACATTCCAATAGATAAAGGAAGATGTGGTATGAGTGCCAATGAGACAACTCTCCATCCAAGTTACAATTTATAAAAGTAAACCATTATAGGTCAAGGTACGGCCTTCAACACAGAGCATTGGCTCACACCGAACAGCAAGCTATAAAGGGCCCCAAAAAATTACTAGTGTAAAACCATTCAAACGGAAAAACCAACGGTCTAATCTATATAAAAACGAGAAACGAGAAACACGTATGAACTACATAAACAGACGACAACTACTGTAATCAGATTCCTGACTTAGGACAGGTGCAAACAACCATGTACAAACTAATTTGACATCCGGGAACGTTTCACTGATCCCATAATAAAAGATTTACAATTTCCACTCCATGATTGCCAATGGGACAGCTATCCACCAGAGTTTAAATAAAGTTGATATAAGCAATTATATTCAACTTTACGGCATACAACAATGAGAAAACCCCAAACTGTATGGTCAGCTATGAAGGCCCCGTCATGAAAAATATTAAACAATTCAATTGAGAAAACTAGCGGCCTCATTTATAAAAAACAACCCACGAAGAACGAATATGACAGACATGTACCAACGACAACCACTGAACCACATGCTCGCAACTTGGTACAGGCACACAAAGAACGTGGCGGGGTTAAACATGTTTGTGAGCGCTCAATCCTCTATTTAACTTGGGACAGAGTCGTAACAGTACAGCATTAGAACAAACTATGAAAACAAATTTTAAAAGGCTTAACTCATCAGACGTTTCGTAGTCACTTGAAAAAAAAGGAATTAGAAAACGAATTAATGACAAATTCAAACGGAAGTTGTGTAGCATCATAACAGTTTCGAGTCCTAAGACAGTTACCAAGCAACACATCTATAAGTAAGATTCTTTACAACAATCACGCAGAGCTTGCTCCACCGATAGAGAGTGCTGGGATTTACGATTATTTGGTTTTATCACCTTTATAAATCCGATCTGATCAGTGATGTGTTCAATTCTTCCGACAAATAGAACGGAACCTCACTTAACAGTGTCTAGCTAACATGCCCTGACTTGACTAACGATCTTTTGGGAGTATTCCTGCGTTTCGGGAAAGATATGTTTACAGTAACTGCTGACGTTTAACGTTTCACTGTTTTATTTAGAGATATACCACCAAAATTATCTGATATTCTTATGTAATAAAGGCAACGATATAAAAGAGAGCCTTGTTGAATACCGCATGAGGGTTCATGTTTTCAGGAAAAAAGTCCGTCACCTGCTGTTAATACACTTAGAAAGCAGATCACGCATCAGAACAGGAGTTACGTGATAAACTTTGTAACAAGAAAATTCGGTCAAAGATGGTTTTACCCCCTGTCCTTCGAAAGAGGAAGCAGCCACACTCATTAAAGACACCAAACGAGCATTAGCAAATTGTGGAAACTTAAGGCTTCACAACATTGCCTCTAATTGTGCGGAAGTTATTTCTGCATTTCCCGCCAACGATTTTGCTTCAAAACGGTTGGATCTAGATTTAGAGGCAAACAGCAACACCATGTTTACAAATTATTAATTAATTGTCATCAGAAAATAATCACACGGAAAGGATTATGTTATCGACATTGAGCATACCGCTGAAGGTCAGTATTAATAAATAATAAAGTATCTTGAGCAAAAGAAGTACTCTTTATCAGTACTGAAGGGATATAAATGTGATAAAGAAGAGTGCAAATTACTTTCTTCTTTTTTTTGTTGACATGAAATGTCATTGAAATGTTAAGTTTCTGTTTATACTGTTCATGAAATGTTAAATCATTCGAAACACTAAGGTGTGTTTTACCCAGGGCATAGATTACCTTAGCCGTAATTGGAACAATGTTTTGGAAATTTTTGTATTTGATCCTTGTTATCTTCTCATTTGATTTGGACTTTTAGCTGATTTGATTCGAGTTCCACTGATGAGTCTATTGTGGACGAAATGCACTTTGTTATTATAAAACACCCATGCGACCACGCATCCCATATTGCATGATAGGACCCGACACTATTTTAGTGTTTCGGCAGTTAAGCTTGAGATGGTCATTTTAAGATGCATTATTTTAACAAATCAAATATGAAAATTATTCATGTGTATATTGATATATTTATATTTAAATTCTTCATCAATAGATCAGGTTATTATGAAAGATCTGCCAACATCATTACATGCTTCACCTATAGTTGCGTATAGCAAACATTAAAGTGTTAGAGATATGCTTAGTAGATCAAAGATAAAGACTTCAATATAAAATTGACAGTAGGACCCCTGATGATGGCACTATGAAAAACATTCATATCCCTTTTTTGTTACATTTACAGTGTTCACATTGAGCTAAACTAGGTTAGATATTCCTGTCTTAACACTTCAAGTTAATCTTTTACGTTTCAATGTAAAAAATCAATGATAATTTACATGTTGTTTGACACAGGGTTCGATTACATCCAGTCGACAGCTAATGCATGCCTTGTTTTGATTTAGTATACATGAAACAAGATGTTCAGAATATTATTTATATCAAGGTGATTGTTTTAAAGAAAAAAACATCATTTTTGTTTTGGAAATTAATATAAATGATATTTACAAACTACTTAAATAATTGTAACCGTAACCACATTAAGAATCATCTAAGTTTCAACTAACCTTGATTGCTTGTTAGGGTCAGTGGTTGTGCTTCCCTTGTTGTCGAGACTTCTTACAATGCACTGATAACCTATTAATACAATGTAACACTTTAATTGAATTGGAATATAAATAATTATAGTGAACACATAGAAAATCATTATAATACTATCCAAACTAAATTGAAAGTTGAGAGTTGGTCATTATTTTGGTTGAATAAAAATGATAGTACATTAATTGAACAACATTCAATGGTTCGAGAAAGGAAATTTACGAATCAGCTGTTCAAGTGTTATATAAAACTAAGAAGATGTGTTATGATTGTCAATGAGGCAACTCTCCACAATATAGCAAATGACACAGAATGAAATGTATAGACAACTCTCTCACAACCAAAAAAACCTAATTGTATAATAAACTCCACACAGCATAAATAACAAACCCTGCAGTAAAGATAAGAAGATGTGATATGTTTGCCAATTATACAACTCTCCACAAGAGACCGTTTGTCCGATTATAGACAAGATAAGAGATGTTCGGAAAGGCAACAGAACATTTGGCCAAATGGGCAAAGTAAGGTTTTCTCATCACTTGGCGTCCGTCGTCCGTCGTCGTCGTCCGTTAACTTTTACAAAGATCTTTTCCTCTGAAACTACTAGGCGAAATTTAATCAAACCTGGCCCCATCATCATTATGGTATCTAGTTTAAACAATGTGTCCGATGACCCCGCCTGCCAACCAACATGGCCAACATGGCTAAAAATAGAATATAGGTGTAAAATGCAGTTTTTGGCTTATATCTTTGAAACTAAAGCATTTAGGGCAAATCTGACATGGAACAGAAATGTTCATCAGGTTAAGATCTATGTGCTCCGAATCAGACAACCCTTTGTTGGGTTGCTGCCCCTGAATTGGTGATTTTAAGGAAATTTTGCAGTTTTTTTGTTTTTATCTTTTATATTATTATAGATAGAGATAAACTCTAAACAGCAATAATGTTCATCAAAGTCAGATCTACAAATAAATAAAAATGACATAAAATGGCAATTGACCCCTTAATGAGTTATTGCCCTTTATAGTAAATTTTTCACAATTTTTCGTAAATTTTTGTATTCTTTTGCAAAAGTCTTCTCCACTTAATCAACTGGGCCAAATAGAATTAAACTTAGCCACATACTGGTATCTTGATTGAAAAATGTATCCGATGACCTTGCCATCCAACCAATATGACTCAAAATAGAACATAGTGGTTTACTTTAGAAGTCTACAGGAAATTTGTAAAAAAAAACATTTTCAAATGGTCATAACTTGAAAACTAATATTGATAATGATAAGGAGTCTTCAGTAATTATTGTAAGACCACAATGGGATGACTTGATTTTGGCCTGGGTCCTTCATACTTTGTACATAGATGCTTTATGTTATGAAGTTTCCGTCTGTCATATGTCCACTGTCCTTGAACTCATTTCCCTGGTTCAGGGACTACTTGAAAAAAGTAAAGATTTTTGGTATTCCTTATTTTACTCTTATTTTGAGTAATAGGATAACTATATTTAGTATGTGCGTACCTAGCAAGATCCTCATGCCCCGACAGACAGTTTTCACTTGACCTCGACCTCATTTCATGCATCAGTGAACAAGGTTAAGTTTTCGTAGACAAGTGCATATCTCAGATACTATAAGCACTAGGTCTTCTATATTTGGTGTATGGAATGATTGTAAGGTGTACATGTCCAACAGGGAGATGTCACCTGACCTTGACTTTATTTTCATGGTTTAGTGGTTATAGTTAAGTCTTGTGTGTTGGTCTGTTTTTCTAATACTGTATGCAATAGGTCTACTATATTTGGTGAATGGAATGATTGAAAGGTGTACATGTCAGTTTGGCATGTTTTATTTGACCTTGACCTCATTTTCAGGGTTCAATGGTTATAGTTTTTGTGTTTTGGTCTGTTTGGTCTAATACTGCATGCAATAGGTCAACTACATTTGGTGTATAAAAATATTTTACGATGTACATGTCAGTGTGGCATGTTTTATTTGACCTTGATCTCATTTTTATAATTCATTGCTCAATGTTAATTTGTTGTTTTTTGGTCTGTTTTTCTAATACTATTAGCAAGTGTATGTAATTTAGTAATTTATGGAATGATTGTAAAGTGTAAATGTCTGTCTGGCAATTATCATCTCACCATGACCTCATTTTCATGGTTCATTGGTCAATATTACGTTTTCCTTGTTTATAGATATTGGAAGATGTTGTATGAGTGCCAATGAGACATCTCTCCATCCAAGTTACAATTTATAAAAGTAAACCATTATAGGTCAAGGTACGGCCTTCAACACGAAGCATTGGCTCACACCGAACAGCAAGCTATAAAGGGCCCCCAAAAAATTACTAGTGTAAAACCATTCAAACGGAAAAACCAACGGTATAATCTATATAAAAATAGATTAGTTTGTTTCTTAAATACTATATGCAAAAGGTCAACTATATTTAAGGCATGCAATGATTGTAAAGAGTACATGTCTGTTTGACAGAGTTCATCTGACCTTGGCCTCATTTTCATCGTTCATTGATCAATGTTAAGTATTCCCGGTTAAGTTTGTTTCTTAGATGTGTAATAGGTCAACTAAATTTAGAGCATATCTGGTGTATGAAATGATTGTAAGGTGTACATTTATTTTCAGTTTGGTTTATCTGACCTCATTTTCTTGGATCATGTTAAGTTTATGTGATAGTTGTAGTAAAGCTTTATATTTAAGACCATCAGCCTAATATCAATGGATAGTAAAGAAAGCGAGGCATTTAAGCGTGTACACTCTTGATTTCAATGGGAGGGTGCAATTTTTCAGGGGGGTTCTTATAATTTCTGCTTGACATTTTTCATTTTCAGGTTATCAGTAACTTTCACAACTCAAGATTTTGCTGGCGAGGAAATGTAACACTAGGCCAACGGAAGCTGAATAACTAGTTAAGTCTAGGTGTCCTAGTGGTCTAGAGCGCTAGACACAGTGCAGGCGGTGTTATCTCGATATCCCAATAACATAAGTTCGAATCCCGGTGAGGGAAGAAAAATATTAGCTTACGCAAATTTGCAGATTTAACATTGTTGTGCTGATATTTAGAGTAATTATGAATATAACATGTGTTAACAGCCATGTATCACCTTACTATATATATATATATATGTATTTAGACCCCTCTACCAAGAAATTTGTTTTGCATGCACACGTATAAAAATTGCGGTTTTTATCCAACGCAATCATAGGTTTGAACGTTGTTTTCAATTTAGACATGTTTATATATATATATATATTTCAAGTCGCTATTCAATCATACAAATTCTGATGATTTAGTGGTTGCAGTATGAATCACTTAATTTCCGTCAGATCTTTTCTATTTTTATGAAAATTGCTTTTTTACACGAAAAAACACACACTTTTAAAGGGAATTTCAATATGTTTAATAAAACTTAAAAAAGAAAAAAAATGCAAAACAAAATAAATGAAAACTAAGCCACTACCTTAAGGTAATAAATTATACAACATGGATTTTGTTGATGCAACCAATTAAGTTGTAAATAAGCATCAAGAACAATAGGATATATGGCATTTACGTTCATGATACCGAAACCCTACACAATAGAGCCTGAAGCGGTAACTTACTACTTTTAGAATGTTTAAATTATATTCTATTTACTCAGTTTATCAATGTTCTTGTTTATAGATATATGACGATATGGTATGAGTGCCAATGAGACATCACTCCATCCAAGTCACAATGTGTAAAAAGTAAACCATTAAAGGTCAAAGAATGGCCTTCAACACCGAGCCTTGGCTCACACCAAACAGCAAGCTATAAAGAGCCCTAAAAATGACTAGTGTAAAACCATTCAAACAGGGAAACCAATGGTCTAATCTATATAAAAAAACGAAAAATGTGAAAAACTTATGAACCACATCAACAAACGACAACCCCTGAACAACAGGTTCCCGACTTCGGACAGGTGCAAACAAATGCAGCGGGTTTAAACGTTTTAACAGGTGCCAACATTCACCCTAACCTGAAACAGTAGTATAACATTACAACATAGTAAGACACCCTTTAAAATATCAATTGAAATGGCTAAACTTGATCAAAAAGAACTATTAACAAAACATATTAACATACACTGAACGAATAAATTTGATCTATGACACAATATCAATACAATATGTAAAACAATGTCAAAAGACAACTATAACCTGTGAGAAATTAGTGTTCAATTGAAAAAAGTTTACAGGTAACTGTAAATTTCATCATTTTGTTGATAGGAGTACGGAAATGTTTTTTACATATTCTTTAGTTGTTCATAGTACAAGAACAGAAGTGAAAATTTATTGTAATACTAAACCTTTGCCAGGTGGTACATATAAAGAATAGGGAGACGAGATACAACACAAAAACAAGGAAACACTGAATAACAAAAATGCATTACAAAGTGTGTCAACAGGTCAAATCAACTGGAAAGTACGATTTGGGAGTAATTGCAGTTACTGAAAGCTAGTTAAAAGCCAACAACAAATAATAATAACAAGAAATGATTGTAACAGGATGCTGTTACGAAGTCTCCCAAACGAAGCTCCCATAATTCGTAATTCCCAGGGTCGCCTGACATTGGGCAACGTCCAGTGAAAATTGGTTTGGTCCAGTAAAGTTATATGCATTAGTGATGCCTGGGGACTAACCTTGTATATCATTCAAATCATCTTGGCATGACAAACCAGAATATATATGGTTTAGGAGTGGGGATCTCGACCATTTACAAGATACTAGAACATTAGGGGTGGGGGGAACCCCTGGGGACTGACCGTATACGTCATTCAAATGTTCCAGACATGACAAATAGGAAAATATATGGTTTAGGGGTGGGGATCTCAACCATTTACAAGATATTAGAACTTTCTCAAATGGCAGGGGGTCGGGATGACCCCTTGGGACTAACCCTGTATATCATTCAAACCATCTTCGCATGACAAACCAGAATATATATGGTTTAGGGGTGGGGATCTTGACCACTTACAAGATATTAGAACTTTCTTAAATGGCA